TCAAAGAGTAGAAAGACAAAATTTTATTAAATTAAAAGGATAATCAAAAAGAGCAATAGAACAAGACTCTAAAAGAACCCAGTCTATCAGCTCTTGACCCTCATACATGCAGAAGCAACTCTAAAGCCATCCATGGCCCTGCTGGAAGACTTTGCAATAGAAAATGATATAGTCACTTGTGGAGAAAAGTCACCACGTCAGTTCTCAGGCTTTGTCACAGGCACCAGAATGAAAGGAGTAGCAATGAAAGACTCCAGGAGAAACACACTGATGCTCATTATGTATCTAATTGAGAAAATATATTTAAGACAAAAGAGAGCAAATTATAATTCTCAAGATTTTTAAATCTTGACAAGTATATTTTGATTTCTGCAACTGAGACTTAAGGAACAAACATGTATTCATGATTCAATGCTTTGAAAAGACTGTGCACTACTAATTTCTGCTGCTCTTTTTTCTGTTTTTGAATGGTCGCTGGCATCTTTTAGTATCTGATAATGAACATATATAAAATACATCTAGATTTAAGAGTTACATTTCCTACAAATGCATCAGAATTTGTTAGAGTTGTATATACCCTCCAAATTCCACTTTTGTCACTTAGAAGAAATAAAACTAGAAGAGCCATAAAGTTGCAAGTTCACCTCTTGCCCCTTAAAAATGCCAAACCTGTGGACCATGCAAAGGTATTGCCTTCTCATTCTTTGTAGCTGTGACTTAACATCTATGAGGTACATATAGATGTTTGATTTTCGAAAAATTTTAGAAAAAAACCTCCTGAAAATAAAGGAGACAAGAGGGATATTGGATTTGTACTTTCTGGCTTGTTCCTTCTATTCCAAATAGAATAAAGAAGTTCACTCTCACTGATCTGAAAATCCTTGAAAGTGCTTCTTTTATAATAAATCAAATGGCAATCAAAACAATGTTTTCCATTTGTATTTGCCATGTGACTTTGTTCTCTAACACATGAAGAACAGAGTTCTGACAAAATAAACTCAGGAATTAAGAATGAACCATTTTCACAGAAAAACTCTAAATTGGTTTTTCCTTCAGAAAAAAAAAACAAGATTTAACAAGGGAAAAAGTTAATGTAATTTTTAAAATTAAAATTGAATTGAAGGGAAATTCTGGCAAAGAACCAAACCTATTGAATTTTTACCATTAGGAAATTCCCACTTCCGCTCCAAACATGCTAATTGCAGTGCTGCCTGGAGTGTCTCCAGTGACCCCACATTGCTTATAGGTCACCTTTCTCTTGCCATCCTGATAGCATAGGAATGTACAGACAATGTCCTTTTAGAATTCTCTCCCCTTGAGTTTTCTGATCCTACTGCTTTGGGTTCTTCTGCTAACTCTGACCATTTCTCAGCTTCTTCCCAAAATGTAAACATTCACTGAGATGTAAACTTTTATTTGGAACTTTTTCTGCTTTCACTAAATCATTATCATCCATGGTTTTAGTTCCCATCCATATGCAGATGATTAAAAAGTCTGCATCATTCTTAAGATTTGCATATTCTGTTGCTGGCTGGATATAAATGCCATGAATGTATTTCTATCAAGTGGTCGGACTTAAACTCTTAGACTTTTTCGCCCATGAGTTCATTTTTCTTTCCATTATGTTTAATGGCATCACCATGGTCTACAATATTCACCACCATCAAGTCTTCCATCTCCTTAACTTTGATTTATTTTCCTTGATCCTACTCCATTCCCTTCTTTAAATCTTGACTTCTGTTTATCTTATTTACTCTTTGACGACCTTTTAGAAAAGTCTACCAGACTCTATTTACACACTCTCTCCTAATCTTGTCTGTATCTCCCTGCCAAGAAATCTTCATAAACCCCAGATTTTAACATGCCAGTGCCTGCAACAGTGCCACTCTCTCAAAGAGGGACAAGCACATGATTTATGTTCAGTATATACTTGCAAAAATATTCGCTAATTCTTTGTATTCCACCTCCACTGCCACTTATTATTCTGAGATAACTTCCCAATCTCTGAAATCAAAGTTATCGATCCCATGTTCTGTTCCCATAGCTTTCTTGTACCCTTTCTCACATATTCCCATGTGGTAGTCCCATCTGTCAAATGCCAACACCTTCACACAGACACTATTAAAGTGTCTTGAATAGATAACCATTGAAACTCCCACAGGACTTTAAATAATAATCCCTTAATAGATGTTTAGTGAATGAAGCATTCACAATAAAATACAGTAATGATAAATAATTCTATTTTTAAAAAATGTGTAGTTTTCAAGCAAAGTTTTGAAATGACTATCAAAATTTTGAATGTCATGTTGCTCCCAGAATGAAAAATAATGTTTTTGCATTTCAGTTTTCATACAGTTTTGCTATTCAATATTTTCTTTTAGGACATGCCACCATTAGATTTATGCTCCAATAGCATTAGACTTTCTCATAACTTTGACAATATTAGAAACTCTATAATATTTATACTTGATAAAAGTATTACTTATTATGCCAATAATGATAAAAATAAAATTTATTGAGGATTTACTCTCTGCTAAGCACTGTTTTAAATACTTATTACACAATAACTCTTTTTCTCCTCAGAAGTACCCTACAAAAATAGGTTATCCTTATTTATAAACTGGAAAACTAAGGCACAAAGGTTACATGATTTACTCAAGCTCACACAGTTAGGAAATGGCAGAGACCAAGTTCAAGTCATGGCATTATGGTCTACTATTTTTCCCCTAAATATGCAAATTTGTATAGCAAAAAGTCAATTAATTTGCACATGTCACAGCTTGCAGAGAATATGAGATGTTTCCAAGTTCTATTTTTCAAGGATGAAGTGGCAGAGAGCAGATTCAGAGGGCTTAGGTTGGCTTAAACTTCGTTTATCTTCCAGTGGACAGGAGTGGACTTAAGGTTCCTCTCCAGTAACTAAATGATGCTGCCTGGAGCCCAGGTACCTCCTTGTCCTCCAAGACACAGGACCTTTGTTGCCACTAGTGAGCTGATATTAGCACAGATGTCATCACTGGGATACTGAGCAGTGAGGATTCTGTCTTGCAGACATTTTTTCTCCTTTTCTCTTTCCATCTCTAGGATCATTCAGTTTCCAGGGACCGGCATATGTGTCTTCCATAGCTGATGTTTGTTGGTGTCTGTAAAAAGGCCGACTAGCTTCCATATAGGGGAGGGGACCTAGCTAACAGTGCTTGAAGTAATGGCACATGAGGTACTCAGGGAATGCACGACATGAGATGCAGCCTGGAGGAAGACTCAGGAGGAGATACTGGGGTTGAAAATGTCACTGGAAGGGTTGTTAGGGGAAGATGAAAGGACGGCTCCTATGCCATTAGGATATGAATGTAAGTCAAAGCTACAAGGATATTTGGAAACCATATACTACAGAGGTGTCTAGCCATGGGATAGATCTGCAGAGAGGCCCTTCTGCTCAGCTCAATTGCATGTGAAGGTCCTCTAACCTCCAACACCCTCAAGCCAACTTCATCTTGTGCTCCTGTTTCCTATTTCTCCAGCCCACAAGACTGATGTCTCAACTTTTACTCTCTAGACCAAACTTGTATCATTTTTTTTTTCCCTGTAGGAGACAGGGGGTGTTCTTTCTTTTTCTCCATTTTAGTAACTCTCTGGTGGTACAGTATACAGAAATACATAATAAGCATACAGTCTGACAGGAGATTGTTGTTCTTTATACTAGGGACACCTGAAATGCACACACACATCTAAAACATCTAAAGTACATGTATATTAAGTACATATAAATACAAGCAGATCAGTTATAGAAATCGTAAAACATAACTTCTTGGTATTTGGGACTCATTCTCACTGATGGAAAATTCGAACAAACAAAATTCCATGGATGGGCCTCCCTGGCACAAGGGGTTAAGATGCAACCTAGAAGCTATCCGCAGCCACTGCAGCACATGTTCGATCCCCAGCCAGGGAGCTATTCACATGGAATAGCAGACCTCTCCTGACTTGCCCTCTGCTCCCCTCAGTACTGCACTTCAGTCAGTCTGCCTGTTCTGTTCCCCGCTCTATCTCTGGTGAATCCTCTCACCCCCACACCTCTGGTCTGTATCCCAGCTCTTGTACACATAAATAAATCTTTAAAAAAAATACAGAAGAAATAATTTGAAACAAATATATTTTTCCAGAACTGAAACAAAAGAAAAAAAAAAAAAGCTAGAATTGGACCCAAAGATAACTAGGAAGAAGGACTAGGAAATGTTTTATTTATACAGCATTTGCAGTTCATCTAGAAGTCCCTTATCTTTCTCTTTTCTGGATATTTCCTTAAAAAGCACCAGGTTATTAAGCCTGGTTGGACTGATGACAGAAAAATCAATTTGAAAATATACTAAATGCTAATTGGGTTATACAGGTGCTAGTAATATCTGTAATCAGTTTTGTATGATCCTGCTTTATTCTAAGTGAAACAAACAAAATTTTATATAAACCATTTCCTACTAAGTTATAACAGGTCTTTCTTCAAATTTCATAAACTTAGAAGCATCTTATTAATAAAAAAATGGATAAGGATGCTACTGCCTTTCGGATAAACACAAAATGGGACATCAGGGCAGCTTCAGAATTCTTGGATATCTGTCATTAGCTCCTGAGATACAAGTGGAGGACGCCCCCTCCCCCACAAAAAAAAAGACGAACCTGAGAGGGATATAATGAATCATCCAAAGAAGGCATGTAAACACTGATAGCAATTGTCAGGATGCTGTGGGGACTTAGACTGGGGGGCAGAGGACTCTATGTCTAATCACTTTTCTTATTATGATCGAGCTGACATAGGAAACTCTTGATCTTGACTTTTTTTTTCTTGTTTGTTTAATAATGTCAAGCTAGATAACAATCAGGGTTCATGAGATATCAGGAAAAAGTAGGAAAGACAAGTCCCAAGTCCCAACGTAGGGAATGAGTTTTTAGGTGTTTGTTTATAAATACACAATGTATATTCATGTCCATTAAAACTCACTTACCTGCTTCCAATGTCTTTCCTGCTCCAGAAGAACTGGTTATACATCCAACTGAGTTACAGAGAGAAACGGTGAAGCTGTAGGCCCTATAAGGTTTCAGTCCTTCCACAATATAAGATCGTTCTTGGGATTTAGCCTGGTACGGTATCTTCAATACAAAAATAATAATACTAATTATAAGTGTGAGAAATGTACTCTTTCTTGGCAGTCAAAGTTCCATGGATATAGAGGGGATTTTTGCCAACCACTATTAAGAAAAGCGATTTTTTTGAAGAGTCTCCACAAGCTAGGACTTAATTGATAATTGTATAATCACACTGTTTTATGAGGTAATAATCAGGTTCCTGAGTGGATAAATGAGGAAACCAAGTTATTGCCTCATAAAGCAGCATGGTGGTATGGTTATTGTCACCAATGGTAGAAATAAAGGCTGGTGACAATTTCATTGTTATCCTTGAAAAGTCCAAATGAAACTGTGGGGCTGGCCCGAAGTAGCCAGGGCAGCGATTGCTCACATGCTATTTGATGGAGCCGGTACAGAAAAATGACACCACGTTAAATAAATGCCATCATTTTGTTTAAAAGGAAAAGACAGGAAAGTAGACATATTATTGAGCATCCACATGAGGTCAATTCTCACTTACCTTTCTTATAAAAATAAACATGTAGATTAGATAAGTCACATTTTTGAAATATCATCTTTAGTACTTAATTTCAAATGAAAGTAAAAAGTTTGAGCAGAGGATGCTGAGAGGCACTCCATAGTCTAAACAAATAATTAAACAGTCAAGACTGAGAGGGAGTCCCATCATTGTAACCAGAGCTGATCAAAAGCAATCATATAAATTTTCTCAGTCTATAATACAAACACCATTGAAAATTATTTTCAGAAAAAGAAGTTACTGAATAAATTATATGAACTAAGCATGAGTACCAAATTATTTTTCTAAGGCATATTGATATATATGTCGTATAAAACAATTTTCCATAGCTATAAGTGCTGATAACTGTAAAGGTTAGTGATATTCCATTTTAGGAATACAATAAAACTCATTTGGATCATTTGCCTGGGCACTGACTTCAAAACTGCATAACTCAAGTGAGAAGTTCTAGAAAGCAATGTGATTAGAAGATGAATTATATTGTTTATATGACATTTTTGAAAAACAAAGGTGATTACAAAAGAACCTAAAAATCTAGGACTAATTTAAATCTTTGATACCATTTTCTTGCGATTACATTTAGAAATCAGAAAAACATCAGGCTGAATTTTTAATCTTTTAAGTCTAAATTGGCTACTAAGGTATTAAGAATATGAAAACTCTCAACTGCAAAGTGATATAAAATTTTCTAGGACAAATAAAACTTTGAAATGAATATATTTTACTAAATAGTGCTATAAAATTCATCTCATTTAACAACCCTGTGGTATTTAATGTGGATTTTTTAGAAAAGGAAGAATTTTTAAGGACAAAATACATTAAGGTATTGCCAATACAGGAAGGTGAATCAGTTTTTAATCCAATTATTCTTTTAAAAATACATAATGAATTAGAATAAGAAACAGAAAATGTGTATAAATACAATTTCTGATAGACTTTTACTTTTCTCCAGATCATTGTTATAAATGACATGACTTTTAAAAGACCTTAGAGACAACACAAAAAAAGAAAAATACAGGCCAGTCTCCCTAATGAACACGGATGCAAAAGTCCTCAATAAAATTTTAGCTATCAGAATCCAACAATGTATCCATAAGATAATTCACCACGACCAAGTAGGATTCATTCCAGGGACACAAGGATGGTTCAACATCCGAAAATCAATCAATATTATCCAACACATCAACAAAAAGAAATATAAAAACCATATAATAATATCAATAGATGCTGAGAAAGCTTTTGACAAAGTGCAACACCCATTCATGATAAAAGCCCTTGAAATTCTTGGGATACAAGGAACATACCTCAACATCATAAAGGCCATATAGGACAAGCCAATAGCCAGTATCATTCTCAATGGTGAAAAGCTGAAAGCATTTCCATTAAGATCTGGAACAAGACAAGGATGTCCACTCTCACCACTGCTTTTCAATATAATACTGGAAGTACTAGCCAGAGCAATAAGACAAGAGAAAGACATACAAGGAATCCAAATAGGAAAAGAAGAAGTCAAACTATCACTATTTGCAGATGATATGAAAATATACACAGAGAACCACAAAAACTCCACAGAAAAACTAATTCAACTCATCAATCAGTTCAGTAAAGTGGCAGGATACAAAATCAACATGCAAAAGTCAATAGCCTTCCTATACACAAACAATAAATCTGAAGAAGAAGAAATCAAAAAAACCATCTGTTTTATTATTGAAACAAAAAAAATCAAATATTTGGGAATAAATCTAACAAAAGAGGTAAAGGACCTATACAAAGAAAACTATAAAACACTGTTAAAAGAAATAGAAGAAGACACAAAGAAATGGAAAGACATCCCCTGCTCATGGATTGGAAGAATAACCATTATTAAAATGGCCATCTTACCAAAAGCAATATACAGATTCAATGCTATTCCAATTAAAATTTCAATGTCATTCTTCAAAGAAATAGAACAATTATTGATGAAATTCATATGGAATCACCAAAAACCTCAAATAGCCAAAGCTCTTCCGGAAAAAAAAAAGAAGGGAATGGAGGCATCACACTCCCAGACTTCAAACTATACTACAAATCCATAATCATCAAAACTGCATGGTATTGGAACAAGAACAGACACACAGACCAATGGAATTTAATAGAAAATCCAGAAATAAACCCACAGATTTATGGTCAACTAATCTTCGACAAAGGAGCAAAGAATATGCATTGGAGCAAAGAAAGTTTGTTCAATAAATGGTGCTGGGAAAACTGGGTCGCTACATGCAAAAGAATGAAGCCTGACTACTACCTCACACCATACACAAAAACCAACTCAAAATGGATTAAAAAACTAGACATTGGACCTAGTCCAATGTCATAGAAGGAAATATAGGCAAAGGAAATACATAGAAGGAAATATAGGTGAAACACTATGTGATTTGCACATCAAAGACATCTTTACAGACACATCACCCAAAGCAGTGATAGTGAAGGCAAAGATAAACAGCTGGGACTACATCAAATTAAAGAGCTTCTGCACAGCAAAAGAGACAATAACCAAAACAAAGAGAAACCCCACCAACTGGGACAACATTTTTGCACACAACACTAATGATAAAGGACTGATCACAAAAATCTGCAAAGAGCTGATGAGACTCAACAACAACAAAGAAAATAATCCAGTCAAAAAATGGGCAGAAGAGCTAAAAAGAAACTTCTCTGAAGAGGAAATGCAAATGGCCAACAGGCATATAAAAAAATGTTCAACATCACTTGTAATCAGGGAAATGCAAATCAAAACTACAATGAGATACCATTTTACAGCAGTGAGAATGGCACATATTAAAAAAACTAGCAACAACAAATGTTGGCGAGGATGTGGAGAAAAAGGAACTCTCCTGCACTGCTGGTGGGAGTGCAAACTGGCCCAACCACTATGGAGAGCTGTGTGGAGATTTCTTGACCTACTAAACACAGAGCTTCCATATGATCCAGCAATTCCACTCCTAGGTATTTACCCAAGGGACACAGAAACATCAATTCCAAAGAGCACCTGTACCCCTATGTTTATAGCAGCACTATTTACAATAGCTAAGCTTTGGAAACAACCCAAATGCCCAAAAATAGATGACTGGATCAAGAAGATGTGGTCCATATACACCATGGAATATTACTCAGCATTCAAAAACGATAAACACATGCAATTTGCAGCAACATGGATGGCGCTGGAAGGGATCATGCTCAACGAAATAAGCCAGAAAGAAAAAGAAAAAAAAAAAACCGGATGGTCTCACTCATAGCAGGAATCTAGAAAACTTAAATAAGAGACCAGGAAAAAGAATAACTATAAGAAAGTAAAAATCAAAATCAACAAAGAACTATGAATCAGAGACACTCTATGGGGGGTGGGGGGTGGGGAAAGGAGGGAGTGGGGTCAAAATAAGGGGGTTGTAATTGTATGGGGAATATAAAAATAAAATTTAAATTAAAAAAAAAAGGCCTTAGAGCTTCTGGCACATAAAACTACCACTCTGATAAACTTTGTCTTTCTAATTTCATATAGTCATTTTACATGTCTTGAAGGAATTACCTATTTGGAAGTTATCTGTGGGAGAAATCTTTAGAGAAGTGGGAAGAACTCTGCATAAATTGTAATCCTACACTGATAATTTCACCACTGCTGTCTGTATTTCCTCTCCTACATTCTTAGGCAAAGATTCGTTAACAGTTATTTATACAATGGACTCACCCCATAAATCTTGGCTACTTATTTACCAAAATTTAATTTAATTACAAATTTAACTATTGAGCTGAAATTGTGATTTTGCTGCTGTTGATTAGACTTTCCTAAATACATGAATAAGTAGATAGATGTTCATGAAATATAATAAATTGTTCCAGTTCTATTATAAGGAGAAGCCTTTTAAACAACAGATTTCCATATGCCTTTTTTTTTGATACATAAATATTCTTTCATGGGAAAGGATTCCCTTGAAATGATAGTCACTTTACAAAGCATATGGAATACAAAGCTATTCTGTTTGCAATAACAACAATATCTAATGTTTATCAAGCTCTTTAAGTTCCACAATACCATTCAGGTAAGCAGATACTGTTTTTCCAGTTTATGGGTGAATAAAACCCGAAACACATTCGTATAATATGTTGGCAGTGGGTAGATGTGGGATACAAACGACTGAAAAAGTTGACCTCTAAGGCTGTATTTTTATAAACAGATTGTTTTCCTATTTTTGTTTCTTAGAATGGAATACTATAGAGCAAATAACAGTTGATTACATAACTGTGTTTTATAAGGAAAGTTTACCAAATGAAAGAATAGCAAAAGCTATACACACAGTATAAGATCAAACATCAAAAAACTCTGAGACACGGTAAATCCCATAATACACTAGACCATAATACAATGGACTTGTATACAAGATTACAGATGCATATTCTAAGAGCTGTGTTTTTATTTCATGAGGTAGTTACCAGCTGGTCGGCACTTAGAGCCAAATGGAAAGTAACACAGAAAGTCTACATTGTCCACTGGCTCTTCTGGCTTCACCTTGTACGTGTGCTTTGAGCACGATCAGAGGGTGGCAAACCACTCAGCTGTGGGCGGGACAGTGTGTATCCCACAACCTCTTGTCCACCCAGAACATCAGAAAGTGACTTTATTTAGAAATATGCTCTTTGTAGACATAATTACTTAATTCATCCTGGACAGTTCAACATCTGGCATCTTTACAGAAAAAATGAGAGGATTCCATGGACATGAGGAGACAGAAACAGAAAAAGTCACGTGGAGGCAGACTGAATTTCTGCTGTCACAAACCAAGGGAGAGCTCAGCAAGGCATCTCCCCTGGAAACTTGGCTGTCTTTGGACTTTTTTGTTATTATTAATGAATAACATTGTTTACACCACTATACATGTCTCTGAGATTTAGATCACACCTCTTCAGATGTATATCACCACACCAGACCCAGCACTGAGAGAGTCATAGTCCTCCACCACAGTCCACTGGGCACTGTGCCCTCTTTGCTCTCCATCCTCCCTCTCCCCCCTCAGGTGGCCTCAATAATGCAGTCAGAATTCTAGGGTTTATTATTGGTTGGGTTTTCTCTGACCTGTAGCTCTTTTTTCTATATTCCACATTTAAGTGAAATCATCTAGTAGTAGTCTTTTTTCTTCTGACTCCTTTTGCTTAGTATTCTATCTTCCAAGTCTATCCACATTATCACAAATGACAAGGTTCATCTTTTTTATAGCTGAGTAATACTCCATTGTGTATATGCAACACATCATCTTAATCTACTCATCAGCCTTTGGGCACATAGGTGGTTTTCATAACCTGGCTACTGTAAACAGTGCTCCAGTGAATATAGGAACATATACATCCCTTCAAAATAGTGTTTGGGCCTGCCAGCACTTTGATTTCTAACTTCTGGCTTCCCCCCAGAACTATAAGAGAATAAATTTCTGTGGTTTTACATCACTCATATGTTGGTGATTCATTACAACAGTCCCAGGAAACTAATACAATGGGGTACAATGATCTGACTGCTAACGAATTGGGACAGTCTTAAAGGACCACTTCAGCTCAAAATGCCACAGAGGATGTGCTTCGGTCCTGTCATTTTGCATCATAGTTTAACTTCATTTGCATCATAGTTTAACTTCATATTATGTTCAATCCTGCATATTTTACATGTTTTTTTTTTCTGAAAGTGTTCCCCAATAAAGCTCTGGTCTTCAATCTACTGCAGCATCTTTTCCTGGGGAAGCTGATCTAAGATAGTGGTAGCCCCAGATAGTGGGTGTAGTTGTGAGAGCTGCTCGCATGCTCCAGTGGTGCAATTCTTAAATTTTCATTAGTGGTGAACTGGGGTGAATTACCAGTGGAAGGAAGTTCACTGGTTTGGTGGAACTTGTAATTATACAGACTATTTTGGGGGAAGTAGTAATTATAAGGACTGTGGAATCAGATGACTCTTGCTGGGTTCTATCAATGCATGTAAGAAATACAGAGAAGATCTGAAAGTTATAAATCAATTTAAGGCAAACTGAAAAAGCCTCCTGGGAAGTATTAATACTCAGTGTCAATAAAAATCTATTAAATGGACTAGGCAAACAAGAAATGGCACAGATGTAGAGGTGTTGGTAAGATTTGGAGTTCCAGAGAATAGGTGGTAGACTTACTGAATACTAGTGGGGCTGCTCCAATAGTGTAAAATGTAGGGGGTCCCTGAACTTGAGACATGCTAGGATACCACCTCCAAAACCAAGGTCAAATTATTGCATCTTGCATCTACCACCACTAGGTGAGAAGAAGAATGAGTGCCAGATCTCAGGGCCTGACTACAGCATATTCCATACTTTGGGAATACTGTTCTGACCAAGTTACTGTGAAGTACAGACGTTACCAGCTTCGCATGCACCCCGGAGGAGAGGGCTCTACAGCATATCAAGCCTGTGTTGCAAGCAGACACAGTTGCTTGCAAGTTGGGACAGACAGCTGAGCAGACCCTATGGTGTAAGAGGTGAGTGGAGTGTAGGAGGAAAAGAAGAGGGCAAGCATCCTCCAAGAGGACCATGGGGTTGACCTGTAAGGACTGGTACAGGGGAATATCACACAATGGAAATGAAATACCATTTCCTGGCATGTTAGTGGTCCTTGGTAAAGTGACAGCATCTGACTAAGGAACATGGAGTGGCAATATAGCCAGAGTCATGAGCTGGGTTCTTTCAGTTGTGTCAAGTTTTAATGTCATATGGGCTTAACAGAAATTCATCATAAAATGGAAACAGGTATCTGGGAAAGCACACAAGCTTAGTTAGGAGACAGTAAGTTATACAAGTTTGGAACCCCACATCAACCACTGTTCTTAGACTAGTGGTTCAAACTCAGCTATACTTACAGCTTCCAGGAGGCCCTTCAAGAGGTGAGAGTGTAGGTTTGTCCATAAATGCATTGTCTTTATGGTTATGAGTCAAATAGCTGCTCTGTAGTCCTATTCGGGGTGTTCCTAAAAACCCTCCAATGGGCAGAACTTCACCCATTTGTTCAGATCAGGGTGAGTCCCCAGGTAAAACACCACAGAGCAGTGGCTTGGTTATAATGATCATAGATATAAAAGCAAAAAGACTTGATGATCAAGAACCAGGAAGTCCAGGGAAGGAAAATGTAGAAAAAGCCATGGGCATGGAAACTGCAGATCTTTTTAAATCACTCAAATGTCCACCAAACAGCATCTCCCTCAGAAAAGGTACTAGACAGTCACATACACAGAATGACACAACCTACTGACATAAGCCAGTCTCTGTCACTCTCCACCCTCATTCTGATCAAGTAGGATAACTGAATACACTGGCCACAAATAGAGGCTGAAAGGTAGCAAAAACATTCATCCTCCAAGACCATTATCTTTGTCAAATAATTTAGTCTATGAATACAGCAAAGCATTATAACTTTAAGCCCTGATTATTATCTCAATACTGCTTGCTGGAATACAAGTTACAGGAAGGCAGTATGTCACCATATAGCCACAACTTGACTCTATTATAATCTTTGTCGTAGGCTGTGATAAATTCTATGGCTCAAAATTTTTTCTAAGCAAATACAATACGCAAATGGACATACATGGTCTTTGTATCAATTTATATCTCCAACTCAATTAATACAACATAAATAACACTAATTACAGATTCATTAAATATAATATTTTAAATCCAAATAATATGATAGTACACAGCGAATGAGTCAACTTCTTGCAAGGTATCTAAGAATATAAGTGGGAAAAGCAGATTTTTAGAAATTAAACTATGCCAACTTTGTTTTAATAGATGCTTACATTAGAAAAAAAATGTTATAAACTATGTAGGGCCTGGTACACCTGCTATTATATGAAGGAATAAAATGCCCCATATAAGGATCACATAAGGGAGAAATTCTATCGCGGAATTCTGCAAACTCAGAAAATAAATGAGGATAAGCCATAATTTCATTTTGAAAGACAGTTATTGAAAAAAATAGTACCTGTGAAGACAACACCAGGCTTGACTTTTGCAGTGACTCTTCAGACATCATGCTGATGTCATACCCCATGGCTTTTCCTCTTGTGACATTATCCTCTGGCTTCTCCCAGGATATGTTGAGGGAGTGTGCGGAGAGAGGGAAGACTGAAGAAGGGGTCATGAGCACAGGTGCTACCAAAGTAACCCCAACAGCAAAGTGATGAATGCCTACTTAGAGATTTTCAAATGGAACTGCACTCATTCTAGTGCATATTTTGTAAATTATAATGCAATATGCTTTCCATTCCTTACCTATTTTTAAAAATAAAACATATGCTGGTGTATAGAAAAACAATTCACTTTTTATGTCATTTGCAGGGATGTTCTCAATGGTTACAGTATGAGCAAATACATTTTCCATTAACAAAATAAAAATAGAAATATTCTTGTGTTCATAAAGATAACTAGCAAATAATTGGGTAGGAAACTATAGCTCTTATGAATTATTTAAAGGGAGAAGTTGCAAAAACCAAATATGTCTCAGTCCACAAAGTTCATAACATATTGGATTTCTTATGTAGAGAGGTATTTCACTGAGCCAAACCAATAGAGCTGGGAGAATATGACTCTTCAGAAAGATGTAAATCTACAATGTTCTAAATAACCCCAAAGAAATGTTAAAAGTTTTCAATAAATCTTGATTGAAGTGTTCAGGGGACATACACAGACACATTCTCCCCCTGCCATCCTTGAGATCTTAATATGGATTTTAAATGTGCTAACCAAAGGTGTATTATCAAAGGACCTCATCCCACTTTCATTAGCCAGTGACCCATAAGATTATGAGGGTCCAGTATTGCAGCTTCACCCATCACTTTTCATTTCTGACCTTGATTTTCCCCTTCCAGAATGCCATGGCTCATCACTTGTGCTATCACGGCACCATTATTTGTCCAAGATGGCTGGGAGTCATTAAGAGATGCTCCAGCACAATGCACATTTTATTCATGAAATGATTCCCTTGGACATCAACCTACAGTTTCGCTTACCCTCCATAGCCCTAACAGAGCCAATTAAAGCAGGACTTGATTTCTTTGGATATCCAGATTTCAAAGCATAACAAAAGTGTAGTATTTTGGTCAAAGGCTCATGAAATTTGAAGTGGCTTTAAATGTAAAGCATAAGATGGAAGCCTGAAAAATGTCTCATTTGACTTAATGAAACTATCTTAAGAATTTAAAAATTTCACCCTCTGTCCTTAACATATTGCCAATTGATTATAGGCACACTCCCAGGTGGGAGTCTGTCATTAGGTACAATTGAGCACCTAAACTATTTTGCAAAGGGAAATGAAAACAAAATCAGACTTGCGAAACTGCTAAGAGTTTTCTCTTTCATTGAACATAAACTGTGTTGAATTTGGAGTAAGAAAGGACATATGGCCAACCCTCTTCCGGACTGGAAACCAATTGCTATTTTTGGCAAATATTCCCCAAAGATGATAACTACAGTTAAGTCATCTTTTCCCCTTTCAGCAGTTTTTCCCCTAAAACTTAATGCAAATACTTTATGACCTTGAGTTATTTATGTAACCAACTGCTAGGTTAAACTTAATTTGGTCTATGTGCATTTATAATTCTTGCTTTTCAAAATGTTTTTTATTGCTGTTGATGTTATTTGAGGTAGTATTTTCATTCACAAGTTTTCCAAAAGGGTTCAAAACACTGATTCTCACCTGATTCTCCTGTTCTTTCTGCAGTCCAGGTAGAAGCCACACTGCCAGCAATGTTGATAGCCAGTACTCTAAGCTGGTAGTGGGTGTAGGGTGTCACTCCAGGGATGGTCGTGGAGGTCAGCAGAAACTTTAATGCATTTTCACTGGCTGATTCTGCAGCTGGATGAGCACTGACCCAGCTGCTGCTCTGAAAAAGTCGACATTCTGCTGAGGTGTCTTCTCCATTTGCTCTCAATCTTTTCATGTTTACTTCGTATCTAAGAATTTCTCCTAGAAGAATGAAACCATACCATCAGACAAACACTGTTTTGGCCTGGATGAGTTCAATTAAAGCGTGCAGGCTTTTCGTTATTCTTCTGACCAGATTTCCAGTTCAATTCCTTAGTAATCCAGAAGACAGGTGTGTATGAAAAACAACAAACAGGTAGACTGAATATCGTAGCAACCATTACTAAATAGTGTATTCATGTGAAAAATGTAAAGGGAAAGACTATAAACACAAAGTAACTATAACTCATGATAGATATACTTAATCTTTTTCAGGATAAGTGGTTATAAATTTACTAAGGGTTATTTCCTCTTGGGGGATGAAGTCACTGTATTTCTAATTTGTTTATTTTCAAAAACTGAGTTCTTAGTTTGGTTTTGTGTTTAACATAAACTGTTTATATAAACATTAGAATATCATTGCTAATTTCTATCCAGTTTTATCCAGTAATTTAAAAAGTCAAAGAAGAAAGGCTTTGCCATAATACGTACGTGATATTAAATTACTAAAAATCTATGAATGTGTGTCTGGCCTATATAACCAAGAGTTCAATTGTATGAACACAAAAATTAACTTAATGGAGTCAGCTAGCCTATATACATATTTTTTGTATTATTTAATATCCTTTTCTTGCTCAAAAGAGAAAATTTACTGCTTATGGGTGCCCTAACTTGTGACACAGTCAAATATAATGCATTTCATAAGTGAGTTTCAAATTAGAAACGTCATTTGTATTGTGGCAGATGTCATTAGGAGCAAAAATAATATTAGCCTTTTAAGGGGCAATTTAAATGAATGGAATTTATTATTAGATTAAAGAAATGCACTTGTTCTACTAACCAGGACAAATAGTATCTTCTTTTTTTCAGTATCATTTCTCAATTATTTTATCTCATGCTATAAAAATGAATACAATTGCCAAACTCACATCATTATCATCCCAAAGGCCTAGATTCTCATTCATATTTTGCCCAGGAAGGGGATATCAAGTGCTTGAATACCTACCATTTTGTTCCCTTGGTGGAGACCATTCCAAGTCAAGCTCCTTGGAACTGATCTTGTGCACCTCGTGGGGATTCAGTCCTTGGGGAGATGCCTGAGTGGTGGCTACAGTGAGGAGCAAACTGAGTAGACAGTCCCCACTTGGACAGGTCGGGAGAGAAAAATGGTACTTTGTGAATGGAACCAGATTCCAGATGGTGGCCAAAGTTTCATGAGCTTCATGGGGAGCACATGGGTGGGCACTAACTACAGGAGCACAGGACAAAACATCTCTCTCCATAGATCCAGAAAGATTGGAGGGTGAGGTCCCGATAAGCGTGACAGAGTCTGAACCAACAGGAATAAGAGAACTGAGGTTTGAGCATTCCTCTGGAATTCTCGGACTTATCATGTAGGAGACAATTGCACTCCTTGTTGAACCATGCACACTGGTGGTCTCGATGTCATTGGAGTAGGATGTATATGGCCGTATTTGAGACAGGGCCGTATTTGAGAAGCGCTGAACATCTGAAAAGAAAAAAATGGAGAGAACAGTCATGCCTCTTAAATTAGTGAAGGAGCATTTCCACTTGTTTCCCTGCTCTGTTATTAATGACATAAACCAATCCACTCTGTTGAATAAGAGGTTTTTTTTAATTAAAATAAAACAAGTACTGTTTACATCTCTAATAAGTGGTATATAAAAAGTCTTTTATAATGAAGAATATTTTGAAGCTTGTTGAAGCTCTTGATTTGTTCTTTATATAGGATGATGTCCTTTTCATAGGAGGTATAGAGAAAGTTCTCTGAAACAGAAATAACTGTGTGTCATTAATGGAACTGGGTGCCTGGTTAAACACTAACAATCTAGAGTAAGGGCTGGGATAATGGCTGCTGCTACACTATCACCTGGCCGACCAGGGACCCATTTCTGACCCATGGAAAGTGTGAAATTATGAATGTTTGTTGTTGTTTAAGCTGAAAGATTTTGGACATTTGTCATCATCAATGGAGAGTTTATACAAGACAAGTTCTGGCAACTAGCACTTCTTAATGGAAAGGATAGTGAGAGAGAGAGAGGAAAAGGTAGGAAAAAGAGGTTAAAAAGATTAATGGCAGTGAGTGTACCTGATCAGCCTGCATCTGGATTTTTCCATTCTCTGTGGGACAGTAATCACACCACATCATAGTGAAACAGAAAAATGGTGAGGGGCAGCTGCCACCCATTTAAGTACTTGCAGAAGGAACCATAGGCATCTGGGGTCTGCTTTTCATCTATAGGGCTTCTTGGTTTCCTGACTGAAGAAGATGCTATGCTGCTCAGGGACCTTCAGCTTTGGGTGGTCCAAGGATTTGTCCAAAGATTACCTTCTCTTTCCCTGTGCAAATACTTGCCGAGATTCACATTTTTGTGGACTCTGTCTACACTCTTAAAATTGCAAGTGAGGCATGATGGAGCTGATAGTGATTTGCAGGGGGAGGGGCAAAGCATGCCCAGATGTGCCCACTGATAGCTTCTCCTTCCAATCTGTCTTTGGAAGACAGGGTACATTCTCCAGTCTGCTTTTTTTAAACATTTATTTATACATACAAGAACTGGGGTACAGGCCAGAGGTGCGGGGGGTGAGAAGATTCACCAGAGAGTGGGAAACAGAACAGGCAGACTGACTGAAATACTCTGCTGAGGGGAGCAGCGGGTGCGACAGGAGAGGTCTGCTGCCCCATGTGGGAAGCTCCCTGGGATCAAACTCCTGTTGCAGTGGCTACGGATAGCTTCATAGGTTGCATCTTAACCCTTTGCGCCACCAGGGAGGCTCTCGAGTCTGATTTTTAATCAACAGTAAAGTTGACTTTCATTTTTAATTTCCATCTGTTTGACTCCATTGTCTAGTTCTCCTTTAGTTCCAAACTCAGGTAGGAAAGATAACATGATTTTCTAACTAGTACATTAAAATTCACTGCTATGGAAAGAGTGCTGTTTCCTTAACTAGTTGCTCTCTTAACCACCTATGATGCAAAAAATACCTATCTGCCACATGTCTAGGGTTCAAAGGGAGGTAACATTAGGGATTGGGGCCAAAATAAGGGGGTTGCAATTGTATGGGGAATATAAAAATAAATAAAACAAAAATAACTGATTATGGACAATCCCAATGTGCTTACTTGACTTCCATACCTTTCTCTAGAACTTCTGACAGCTAAGGAGGATGTAAATTATCAAAAATTTATTTACAGAAACCATTAGATGTAACTTTTTTTGTGTGTGTGGGAACCTCACTGGTGGCTGGGGATTGAACTGGTGCTGCAGAGGCTGCGGGCAGCCTCGCAACCCAGCACTCAATTACTGCGCCACCAGTAACTTATTTTTTTTTAAAGACAGGATTAGGCTTGTAGTGGTGAATATAATGTACCATACACAGATGTCAATTTACAATAACACATACCTGAAACCTATGTAATGATATAATCCAATGTTACTGCAATAAAAATATTTAAAAATATGAAATTACCCCTTCTTAGGGAAAAAGTATATGATTCAGAAACTTTAAAATTATCCTACCATTATTAGCAAGCTCTCACTAATAACTTGCATGCATCAAAGATAATTCACAATTGTATCATGATCATAGGTTGGAAACTACTGTGCAAGAGAGTCCCACAGTGCATCAGGCCAGCCAGGAAAAGGTATTATTTTAACAAGGAATTCTATAATGTTCTCAACCAAATGCTCAAACTTGCTTGGAAGACAACACTATTAATTTTCTTTGAAAAGTTCAATGATTCTCCACCTATAATTCCAAATGCCTTTATTTAACCCAAAGATTTGTGTTCATCCAACTGAATATAAGTACTGTTTCCTTTTCATATTACACATGCTATCCACACACTGGAAATAAAGTAATAAACATGAGGGTATTATTAGAATGATACAAAGTTCTGACAGCACTAGCCAATTGTACTTACTGTTCAAATGCCATCATGCAGATAATTTTCACATCATTAATTATAGTGATTGTCAAGAAATGCCAGAAGTGGCATTTTTTAATGAAAAGTAAGGTTTTAGGAACTAATACTTTGTTTAATAGGATTATATAAATGTCTTATTAGTGAATGAATACACATTTATTATGTAAGAAGCTGTTTTTTGGATTCTGTATTAGTGCAATCATGAAAAAGAGCCAGAGATTGTATTCACATGTAATGTTCTATAAAAAAGAGCACAATATGTTACCAGGAAAAACATGGACTGAATGATTAAAAATTAAGTGATGGCTAATTTTATCATTGAACTAAGCTGTAGGCTGTTTGTAGAGTGACCCGAATTCACAACCTCAGAAATAATTCAACCCGTGGAACTGTCATCTCTGAAATCACTTTTAATATTTTTTAGAACTCTCTTCCCCAATCACAAAAGTTTAAGTTTCAGGACACCTGGATCATGCTGCTATTTGGATGAAAATAAACATTCTAGTAGCAGGTTTTTAGGATGCTGTGCCAACATGGCAGATGTAGACAGATGTTCATTTTCCTTTGCAATCTGCATCATGAAGTTCAGAGTTTCCATTAACTTCCAAGAAGACTTGCAGAACTGAAGAGACATTCAGGGTTAACAGAAAGTGGTGGACATAAGGAAGGTATAAGTCGTGGAGAAGTAGGGGCAAAATGCAAACCACCACCATATGGACAAAATGAAACTGTGCACTATATATGAGTTTCACAGCCATTCAGTATGTTCAAACAAAGCAGTGCCTGAGTCATTTTAAGAAAGGTTATGGAATTCACTGTTTCTACATAGTTCTTCACACACTCTGCTAACTGATCAAGTATGCTCCAGAAAGTGGAAAGGTGGGTGTTAAAGAGATAACAAAATGGAAACTTGAAATCATTGTTGCAAATTTTCTTAAACGAGTTTCTAAAACCAGCTTCCAAATATAACGGAGGTAGAAGAATACAAAATTATCTACTTCTTCACTGTCTTGAATAAATATTTTTTAAAACAATGGGTCTCAATAGTTTGAGTTCTACAAGTTCCTTTGAAATCTTGTGGAAGTTACACATGCAAAGCTAGACTTCATGGATGGTTCACATCCTTCCTCTTCCAACTGAACTTTATGCTTTTGGGTTTAATTTTGGTGGCAATGGCAAAATATCCATACTTACGTTAATTGCTTGAATGTTAGTATTCTGGCTCCACTGTTTTAAAAAGTCCACATTTAAATGAAAATTTGAAAAGCTGAACCCATAATAGAAATATCTGATAAATTTTCTGTTATCTTTAAAACCCAGAGATATTAATTAAAAAAAAAAAAAAGAAAAGAATAAGGACCAACTAGTAATCCAAAACCAAGGGAGGGAAACAAAGTTATGGATCACAGCACAAAATAATATAAAATTTGTACTATGATTTATAATTTTGGTTTTGTATCACAAGCATAAACACTTACAAATACTATGTAATAGTTTAAAAGATTTTATCAAATTGAGTATGCTTTTTGCTGCCTACTTTATATTTAGAATGGTAGACTCTCCATGAAAGGATTTCAAGAGCTAATGAGGAAGAAATCTCGCGTATGTCAGTATATGTGATGTAGCTCATTAAACCAGACTAGCAGCATAAAAAAAAATAAATAAATAAAACCCAGAGAAAGCCAAAGATGTTTCTGATAAGTCCTCTAACTATATTTTTACCTATTTTTTAATTAAAATATTGTTAATAGGTTATTTTAACACCTTTGATTACACTGGACAATATGTCATGAACAATTAATCACTCTCTACTCATTGACATGCAAACTAAGATATTATTTCACACATTAGCATATCCTACCTTACTAAAATACCAAAATTGTGCTATGGCCATAAGTTATTGAAAGATTTTTGAGCGTCTAAACTTTCCTTAAATTTTACTATTACAAAGAATGTAGGTTTAAATTTTTTCACAATTTTGTGTCCATTTCTGATTATTCATTTGAGATAAGCTTCCTAAATTAGGCTCGGTATGCAAAAGGGTAATGTTCATCTCTACATTTTAACAATTTATCTCACACAAACCCACACAGAGGGACTCCTTGGTGGCTCAGGGGGTTAAAGACATAGTACAATGAAGCTATTCCCAGCCACTGCAGCGCAAGTTCAATCCCCAGCCAGGGAGATACCCACGTGGCGTAGCAGACCTCTCCTGACTCGCCCGCTGCTCCCCTCAGCAGTGTATTTCAGTTGATCTGCCTGTTCTGTTCCCCACTCTGTCTCTGGTGAATCCTCTCACACCTCTGGCCTATACCCCAGTTCTTGTATGCATAAATAAAAATAAATCTTTAAAAGACAAAAAACCCACACAGATATCCCAGCAGCTTATGTAAGTTCTAGCCTCTCTACACCCTCATCAGTGCTGGATAGAATTGACCCTTTATAATCTTGAGGATCTGATAAGCATTAAGCACCTACCAAAAAATAAACTCATTTTTATTGCATTTCTTTGATTACTAGTGAGATTGGTGATTCTTTCTCTGCTTGAAATACTTCATGCTAGAGAGAGGAAACCACAACAACATTTATCCTCAGTGTCAAAAAACTTAACTAATGTGTCAATTCTCAGAATATTACATCTTTCCATCACCAAACCTCTAAACTCACCGTATGGGTATTGATCCCCAGTTGTGTAGCTTTCAAAACCATCCCTGAATAAGCTGTATGTAAGCCAGTGGGCATTTGGAGAACCAGGTGGGCTCCAAGAGAGATTGATAGCCGAAGAACTTTGAAATTGTCCTCTGGGTGGAGGTTGCTGGGATGGAGCTAAATTACAATGGAAAGAGCATTTATTAGCAAAGGCAATCAATAAGCACACAAGTAAACTGAAGTAAGAGATCCAGCAAAGAGGACTTTCTGATTCAAGATTACTTTAACAAGAAGACATGTGGTTTACCAAGACATTAATAAACCAGAGGTATACATCATAAGTTCTCTAAAACAAAAGCTTTTTATCTATAAGCATAAAACAAATTTGTAGGTCAACACAGCTGACATAAATATATTGGGGAAATAAACCACAATAGTTTATATGAAGAAATTCTTTGTGTGTGTGTGTGTATTTTTTTTTTTTGAGAAACAATCCCATGTTGCGTAACAATATTTTCCATTTAATTAATGTAAAGTTGACATACCTAAGTTCTGCTGAATCTTGAAATTTAAGAAGTACAATATTTTTGGTTTTAAAAAGAGGTTTTCCAATCCATTAAACACAATACCTCATTTTGTTTCGCAGAACACAGAGTAAAAGAAAAAATAACAGTTGGTGATACACATAGCTCTAGATGTTTTAGGAGCTAAATAGTCTAAATATTAGCAAGAAATAATCTGAGTGTACTATGTAAATTCATTAGCAACTGTAAAAGGTGCAAAAATTGTTACAGTTGGTTGTTTCCATCAGGATGATAGAGCACACACCTTGCTATATCAGTGGAACTTTGTATAATATAAACACAAGCCATGTAAACACTGTCTCTTATCACTGGGTATTTTTCTTAGGCTCCCTATTTTTGAGGGTAGGCCTTCATATCCTTCCCTCTCTCCAGAAGATTTAAAGGTAAAGGAAAAAAACAGCATTTTAACTATTCTTAAAGGTCAATCAACCACCAGTTTATTTGCCTTTTCTGGTTAAACAAGATGCAAAAATCATCCCTTTAGAGAAGCATGATCTACTCAGATGTTCTCATTAAATAAGATGTCAAAGGTACTGTTTGCTGTGTTAACTGACTTTAAAAATTATTCATCTATTTGTTAAAAATTTTTCTTAAATCATGACTCAATCAAATAATTATCAATATTTTATATGAATTGTCTGCAGTCACTGAGGACAGACAGGGTTTCAGGAAAAAAGTGGGAGCACACTTATATTAAGTAAATAAATAAAGAGCTTAAAAGCAGACTATTTTCAAAGGGATGGGCAAAGTGCAAGTAAACCAGACAGATGAAGCAGCACTCTGGAGCCTGGTCACAGCATTCCTTTACCATCATGACAGAGGTCCTGAAGCCCAGCCCTAGTTTTAGGTGGGCTAGTTCTAATGTGGACAAGATTAATTACAGCAAAGGATACAGCATATGATCAACAATGGTAGGAAAAGACAGTGTAGTCCCAGAGACCAGGCACAACCTTCCCATCACATAGCACATACTTTAATATCCCCACCAGTGGCTGTGAAAACCTGTGACATGTTTGTCAACCAGGAAAGTCCATCAGATGTTTGGACTTTTTTGTTTGTATTAGGGGGCCTTCTTGTAAACAGATACTAAAATTTCAGAAGAAGGTGGTAAGCATAAACTACATCATTTGTGTAAAATGAAAGGGATGGTGAGGCACTCTTTACAGTTCTGGGATGTTAGGCACCTTCACAATCCAAATTCCCACACAGTCTCTAGCCCTAGGATGAAGGGCCACAGCATGCGGAGTCAGAAAGGACTGTATGAAGAGCATCACTTGGTAGAAGCTGTAACCATTCATAGAGGGATGTAGCCAGCTCCAGAGCAACCCTCCACTGAGACACAGAACTGGGGAGTAAGTATTCCAACTTCCCTTTCCACCAGCCCTCCAGATGACTGGCAGCTTCCTTGTCAGAGGGCAAGGCGGTCTGCTGATGCAGACCGTGCTCTCTAGGGGAAGAAAATGGAGGTGAGTAGTAAAGTTACCTGCACAAAAGGCAAAGACCTTCAACTAAGAGCTGTTGCTAATTCATCAATGTTCATGAGTGGTAGACTCAATTTTAATGACATGATAGAATCTAATAATATTTTCTGAACATATATTTTCTTTCAATCTATGACCATGGAATATCTTTCTGTTTCCTCTTGTCTTCTACTTCTTTTAACAATGTCTTGTAGTTTGCACTGTGGAAGCCCTTTTTTGACCTCTTTTGTTAGGCTTAACCTAGATTTTTTTTTTCTATTTATTTTCTTCTTTTTTTCTTTTTTTCTTTTTAATTCTTTTTAATTCTTTTCTTTTAATTCTTTTTTCTTTTTAATTCTTTTTTTCTTTTTATTTTCTTTTTCTTTTTTTCTTTAAGAGGCATGTTTTATTTATTTATTTGTTTGTTTGTTTGTTTGTTTGTTTTGTTTATACAAGCACTGGGTACAGTCAGAAGCACGGGAGGGTGAGAGAATTCACCAGAGCCAGAGCGGGGAGCAGAGCAGGCAGAAGGACCGAAGTACACTGCTGAGGAGAGCAGCGGGTGGCAGGAGAGGTCTGCGCGCCATGTGGGACCCTCCTCTGGTGGCTGGGTAGCAGCTGGGGATCGAACCGGTGCTGCAGAGGCTGGAGGCAGCTTCACAAGCCAGAGCTAAACCGCTGAGCCACCGGGGAGGCCCTTAACCTAGATATTGAAATCTCTTTGATGTGATTGCAAATGGGATTGTTTTCTTCTTTTTTCTGTTTGTTGATTGCATATAGGCATGTAACCATTATATCTTGATTTTGTAGTCTCACTATACTGTACTTATTTATTATTTCTAGTCCATTTTTAGTGGAGTCTTTAGGATTTTTTAATGTATATTACCATGTTATCTACAAATAGTGATAGTTTTGCATCTTCTTTTCCACTTTGAATTCTTTTTATAGCTTTCTCTTGCCTCATTGCTCCAGCAAGGACACTAATACTGTGCTCAATGGTAGTGGTGAAAGTGGACATCACTGTCTCACATTGAGTATGATGCTGATTATGGGTTTGGCATAAATGAATTTCACTATGTTGATTATGCTTCTTTTTTAAATTTTATTATATATATATATTTCATCATTTTCTAACCCAATTGTTGAAAGATTTTATAACAAATGAAAGTTTTTAAAAATAGGTCTGCCATATGGTACAGTAAATTCTCTCCTAGCAAATTCATTCTACTCAAAGAATGCAGAGTGCACTAATTTTAAGAACTATATGCACAACTATGTTAATTCCAGCACTATTTACAGTAGCCAAATTATGGAAACAACCTAAGTGCCCAACAACAGATGAATGGATCAAGATGCCATACTTTAATTATACTGTGGAATGCTACTTAGTTATAAAAAAGATGAAATATTGCCATTTGTGTCAACATGGGTGAAACTAGAGGGAATTATGCTAAGACAAATAAAAAAGATATAGTCAAAGGGCCTCCCTGGTGGCACAATGGGTTAAGATGCAACCTATGAAGCTACCACAGCCACTGCAGCACAGGTTCAATCCCTGGCCAGGGAACAACCCATATGACACAGCAGACCTCTCCTATCTCGCCCGCTGCTCCCCTCAGCAGTGTATTTCAGTCAATCTGCTGTTCTGCTTCCCACTCGGTCTCTGGTGAATCCTCTCACCTCACCCCTCCCCCACAACTCTGGTCTGTATCCCAGCTCTTGTATGCATAAATAAATAAATCTTTAAAAAAAAATACAGTCAAATACCAGATGAGTTTACTCATGTGGAATATAAAGAAACAAAATAATGGAATAGAAAAAAATTAAATAAAAACAAACCTTAAAGAAATGTGACTATAGAACTGAGGCTACCAGGAGGAAGATGGGGGTAAGTAGGTAAGGGGGAGGGGGTATCCAATGGACTATGTTTAAGGGTTATTTATGCCTTGGTGGTGGGTGAGGTGTGGTAATATACATCTGAAGAGTTGTGAATCTATAACTCTAAATCATATATAGTGTTGTAAACCAATGTTAGTTCAACTAAAAAAAAATGCAATTAAAAAAAAATAAAAGTGCTGATCTGAGTGGGGAAACCTCCAGCATTGAGTATGATGGAGTAAAAGGATTCTTTGTATAGTTCTTTGGGAAATTTAATAGGGAAAAAATAGTCATTTCAACAAATGTTACAGGAATACTTGGATATCTTTGTGCCAAAATATAAAAATAAAAGAATTTAGATGTTTACCTCACACAATTAAAAAATTAATTTAAAGTATTTCTAGTTTTCATGCCTTCCTGGTGGCCTAGAGGTTAAGTCTCAGAGCTACCACCATGATGCCTGGAAGCTAACCAGGCTAACCATCTCCAGCCAGGAAGCTAACCCACATATGGCATGGCGGACCTCTCCTGTCTTGCCACTGCTTCCCTCAGCAGTATATTTCAGTCAATCTGTCTGTTTTGCTCCCCACTCTGTCTCTGGTAAATCCTCTCATCCCTTGTACTTCTGGCTTGAACCCCAGTTAGTCTATGCAAAAATAAACAAAACCTTAAAAAATACTTCTAGATATAAAAGTAAAAGTAAATACAAAATCTGACAAAAACATGGGATAAGATCTTTGTTACATTCAGTGAAGCAAAGATTTCTTAGAATGGGCACAGAAATGTGATCTTAAGAGAAAACCTTGGTAAGTTAAATTTCATCAAAATTTAAAGTTTTCACCTTTTAAATATCTTATTAAGAAAATGGAAAAAAACAACACATGGATTGGAAGAACATATTTGCAAATTGCAACTCAAATATATAAAGACTTCTTTAGCTCAATAAGAAGGTTAAGTATCTCAACAAAAACAAGGGCAAAGACTTGAAGGACAATTTGCCAAGGAAAATCCAGAAACGGTAAATAACCACATAGAAAGATGCTCAATAGCATTAATCATTACAGAAATGCAAATTGAAACCACAATGACATCCCACCACACAATCATTAAAGAGCTATCATGAAAGAGAATCAATGCCAAAGGTTGCTGATGCCACAGAAAAACTAAATCACTTTTCAAAAATTACTGGAGGAAATATAAAATGGCATAGCCATGATAGAAAATAATTTGTCAGTTTCTGAAAAATAATTCAAAG